AAACATGATTTTCAAAGAAGCAATTATGATATTTGTCTCTACTATAAAGGTAATGGAGGTAACTTAGTACTTTCTGTTGATGATATGTTACTTGCAAACTGTAATAAATTTGAAATTGATGATATCAAACATAAATTGAAATCTGAATTTGATATGAAGGATCTTGGCACAGCTAAGAAGATACTTGGTATGCAGATTTTAAGAAATAAGGATATGGACATTTTATTTTGCATCAACATGATTATATGCTTAAACTTCTGAAAAGATTTAACATATTTGATTGTAAACCTATTATTTTGCTTGTTTCAAATCATTTTAAACTTTCATCTGAGTGTTGTCTTAAAACTGATGAAGAATTTGCTAGAATATCCAAAATTCCATATGCAAATATAATTGGATCTGTCATCTATCTTATGGTTTGTATAAGGCCTGACCTAGCTCATAGTATTAGTATACAAAGGTACCTTAAATTTAGGACTTATTTTTAAAATGAATGAAAGGGGGATCACTTTAAAGGGGTTTACAGATTCTGAGTTTGCTGGAGATAGAAACAATAAGAAGTCTAGCTTTGTCTATTATTTTACTCTCTGTGATACGCTATAAGCTGGAAATCTCAATTGCAAAAAGGTAGTTGCTCTATCTTTAACTGAAGCAGAATATATTGCTGCTTCTGATGCTATTAAAGAGGGCACTTGGTTAAGTAGATTGCCGAATGAACTTGATTTTGTTGATAAAAATGCAACTTTATATTCTAATAACCAAAGTGCCATACAATTAAGCAAAAATCACATGTTTAATGATAGGACCAGGCATATATATATATATCACTTTATTAGAAATATTTTATCAAAGGGAATTATAAAAATTAGTAAAATTCCTACACAGTTTAATCCCTCAGATATGGGAACAAAGATAACACATTTAAATGAGTTTCTTAGCTATTTGAAGTTGTTATCTATTGATACTATATGATGTTATAGGTACTTGGAGCAAATGAAGAATAATTGGTGATATTTGCTCCTGGCTGCACTGTTGTCAAAAATTGTTGAAAGCAAGATGGAGATTGTTGTGACTCGAACCCTTGACTTACTTAATTGTGCTTCCAACAATTAAGCTAAAGTCGTGCTTCTAAAATAACACTTTCTTAAGTGTATGTTAATTACTGGATTGTTGACACTTGACAACTTAGTTACTGTTTATTAAAGTTCTAGAGGCTTCTGATTTTTTATCCTTCACTTGGTACACTGTTTGGCAGATTAAGTGGTGTGGGTTTTCGTCGGTTCATGTGCCTTCTAGAGAGAAAATCTCATTTTTCGATTACGGTTTCACATTCTTGAGAGATTATTTTGTGTAAATGTTATAATCTCTTAGATGTACTTCTGATTGTGAGAAGTGATACATTTTTGAGTGATTTGTGTAATGAATCTATGTGATTTGTCTAATATGTGAAGTTTGAAGATAGAACTGAGTGATATATCTTGTTCTTGGGTAGAGGGCGTGTTCGATTCAAAGTCACTTGTAAAGACAAGTCTCTGTGACTTCATCTTGTATTCTTAAATTGATTGTAATTTTTTGCTATCACATTTTTGGCTATTAGTGTAACCAAGCATATATCTTTTATTTGGATACTCAACGGGGGATGTAGACGTTAAATAAGGTCGTTGAACCTCTGGAGGTCAGGCCAAAATAATTCTTTGTGTTTAATCTTTAATTTTCTGCAAGTTTACCTTCTGATATATTGATGTTTGGTGAAATTTTGTTTTAATATCGTGTGTGTGGGCATTTTCATCTATGTTGCATCGTAATTGAAGACAAACACGGATACAGATTTTTTCAGCTTCTTTTCCACTTGGAAAGAAAAAAAATGAAGTCTTGGATTGGTGCTTTCTTGCTAGTTAGTTGTTACACTACTTCTGAACTCTACTTTTCGTGAAGCTATACCTGCAAATAATTTAAGGTTCCGTTTATTCTTAGCATGACGACCTTCTTATTTGTTCCATTTTTATGCTTTTTAATTTTTTCTTTCCAACTTATAAAATATTATGTTTATCAAGATCTTGATTTTTCATGTGTTATTTTCAAAAGTAATTTCACGTTTGACAAACAAAAAGTTGTTTATTTCAGAATGAACTTACTTTTCTATTAAGGTAATTAACCAACCACGGGCACACTTGTTAAGTTGTCGTACTTATTTATTGTCGACTCCACAGTGAGGTCACATGGGGGTTGGAAGGGGGTAAGCGCCCCCTCCTGGGGGTAGGGGCAGAACCTCCCGGACGAAAATTTTAATTAAGGACTGTTTCTTATAAAATTCTATGAAGTAATAGGAATCCTTGTAAAATTCGATTTTGCCTATTTTATCTTATAAATGGAGAGCAATTATTAGGCTTTATCTATTATCATCAAATAAATAGAAAGAGAGGTTAGAAGAGATATAATTGATATTTTCTCTTGTAAACCTTCTTTTCATCACAATGAATTATTGGAACAGGAGGAATGAACGCAGTTTCATATTGATATGAACCTCTATAAATCTTGCACGTTCTTAATTGTTTATTTTCTTTCTTTAAATTGATTGCTATTGATGGGATAGTATTAGGATTTATAATTCTCAACAACACTCTAGTGTTGTTTTTTCTTTATGTCAACTATTTGCAAGGTTTCTATGATGGAAAGTGTGGTGTAAGGTCTCCGAAGTTGGATTGCAGAAGAGGTGCCGTGGAATTTGTTGTGCTGCATGTAACTGAGTGCCCTGTAGAACTTATGGAAACAAAGATGAATGCCCATGTTATAGAGACAAGTTAAATTACAAGGGGAAACCCAGTGCCCCTAATATCATTATATGTTTATGCAACTTTTTTTGCCTCTTTGAGAAGCTAATATCTGATGGAGTAAAATCAGTTTGGTACTTTTGCAGTATTCTTTGTTGACAATGAAATATTAAATTTTATATATTCATTTGAGGCTATAAATTTGCATCTATATTTGAAGTTTTATATGCCAGTTACATGCTATCCTATGAAAAAGAAGGTTGTTAATTTTCATATATGAACTAAGCTTTGATCACGTCAAAATTTCATTTTAATTTCGATTTAAAAAAAAAAAATTAATCATTTCGCATGGTAATCCCATTGGACTGTTTTGTCGAAATCATTTTACCATGATGTTAGTCCTTGTGGGATTCCTAAGGTAATGGCTTTTTTTAAAAAATGAACACATTTAACTATTCGTATGTACTTTTGAATTTTAACAGAGGTTTTAACTTTTTATTATTAGTTCCTTGACAAATAAGCTTAAATGCATTTGCATATATTCCTCTCGATTCTGATAGGAGTTGCCAAAACAACAAATTGTTTATAGATTTAAAGTGCTTTACCCAACCCCATCCAAAACCTAAATCATCTTCTCTTTCTTCCCTCTCCCTCCTCTTCTCTATACAAAACATCGCCTCTCTCTCTCTGCTTCTCCCACGCATGGACCACTGCCATCGCCGGAGACCGCCGCTTTCAGATCGCCATCTCTCTCTACCCTCTTCCTCTCATAGACCACTACCACCGGAGACCATCGCTTTCAGGTGATAATTCCACTGCTTTCAGATCGCTACTGTGCGGCGCTGATTTGAGCGCCACAACATCGTTCACTTCACACTTCTATGGCGGCTGCATCTTCTTCAGTCGATTCTTCATTCAAATTCTCCAGCGGCTTCATTCCACAGATGGTGCCGGCTCTCCGTGGTGGTAGCGTGCCTGCCTTCCGCACCGCAGCCAGCGATCTGTAGCCTCATCTACTTCTTCGACAACTCCATCCTGTGGTGATCTGCAATGCACTGCCGCGACTGCAGCGCTCATGTCACGCCCACCGCAGCGATCTGTGGCCTCATCCACTTCTCCACGCGTATTGACGGATTGTTGGGTTGTGTTGATGAGAGTGCGTCAGTTGTGGTAGGGTTGCATCTATGGTGGTGGTGACGTGTTTGTTTTGGGTTGTTGGACTGTGTTTGTGGGTGGTGACACATATGTGTTATATAATGTTGAGCTTCGTTGGTGGTGGTGACACTGTTAGGCCTTGTTGTTGGTGGTGATGGTGATGGTGTAGGCGATGATGTTGAGGTAGTTTTGAGGTGCTTTTGTGGTATTTTTTGATGGTGATGGTCACATGTGATGCGCACGGCACTAATGATTTGGTGTCGGGGTTTGGTGGTGTCGCTATCTTGCAATGATGATGGTGCTAGAGTTTGGTGTGTACTAGTTGCTGTGGTAGAGGATTTGCATGATCACGTGAAGGGATGGTGATATTGGCGGTGGTCATGGTGGTTGTGTGTGGATGGGAGGATGGGATGGGACGGGAGGTACTTGTAACCAATAAATTTGTTGATTGTGACCAATAAATTCATTAATGTAATTTAAAAAGTATGATCGTGACTCACAATTTATTAAATTGTAATTGATAAAATAGTTGTAACTAATTAATTTGATAATTTGTGACTGATAAATGAATTGTGACCTATAAAAGTTTTGATTTTGTCATCGATGAATAAATTGTGACTTATAAAATTTTTGGTTTATGGTCGAAAAATAATTTGTGATCAAATTGTATACATTTGTGACCTTAATATATTTAATTAATAAAGTTTTTTAATTAATTATTTCATAAATAAAATTTAATAAAACCTTATTTCTTAGTTTTGAAATTGGTTATAGTTGAACTCTTAGATGTGAATTTTTCCCTTTATTAAAATGTACAAAAAATCTGATTTTTAACTATGTAGGGAGATTAAAATAAAAACAAACAAAGCATTTTCCGTTCTAATAATACTCATAACTATTCTCAAAATAAACATCCAAAACTACAAATTCACGTCTGATTCGTGTAAACAACATATTGGGAAAACGATTTTGACCGCATATCATACTTGAAAAAAAAAAATCTAATTTTTGTTATTATCTACTAGTAATTTCCATAGCAAAAACTCTGTTGATTATCTTGGTATATGAATTTCTCAAAAACAATGATAAACTTTCCAATATAATATTTGGAAATTCCTACGGATTTTGGTCGTACTGGAAGTGGCTGACAAACAAAAAATAGAACGAAGGAAAAAATGGAGAAGTAAAGTTGACAACTAGATCATTGCGAAGTTCACTCATTAGATCTAGCAATGGAACGAATAAAGTGGTGAAAAAGTAATTATATATTCGACATCAAATTTATTAGAAATTAATAAGACTTAGTTTTGTTGTTGTATATGTAAAGTTCAAAACCTGCTTGCCTCCTGAACAATTGAAAATAAATAAAGAAAAAGAAATTTCAGTACAGAGTTAGGAAATTATCAAGGGATAGCAAAATGTACAAATCCAAGATCATAGGAAAATCTGGAAATTTCAACTGTCATTGGGATATTCTCATCACAAAAATTTACAAATGAACCAAAAAGCACTCTCTTCATGCATGCAATACTATCTTAACCTTGAGAACCAGAAAAAAAAAAAAGTACAACCCTAATTCATTCTTATGTTTACATGATTTAGCAAAGATTTATCCTGCAAGTATCTTCTCTCTCCCTCAAGAACACTAGTAAAAAAACTCACCAATGCAATCAACAAGCTCTCAAATTATTTTACTCTAGTGTATGATATGCTTAAAGTTTATGGACACCAGGGGGGTTGTTATTGCCCATGCCTGGGCTGTGTCCTGGAGTTGTCGGCCTGAAAGCTTCCGACTCTATCTTCTTATACCGGTTGATAATAAGGCGGCGATACCCCGGAGGTTTTGGGCTGTCCGAACTTGGGACGGGGGCTGGCGAGTGAAAATTAGGCCTCTCGGATGCAGAAATTAAGAGAAAATGCTTTGGGCTGTTCAAACTTGGGACGCTAGCTGGTGGGTGAATATTAGGCATCCTGGATGCAGAAATCCAACCAAATTGCTGCTGCAAAAGCAAGGAAACAAAATAAAATGCCAGCATATAATTTCTGTTATGCGAAGCCATGCATATGAATGGTGACATTTCTAATTGAGTGCAAGCATGTATAACGAAAAATTTGCTTCAAGAAATGAAATTCTGAGGAGCAAACCCTCATAGTACATGCTATATAAAACCACTGTAAAGGTCCCACAGGTTGAAGACGATGTTTAAATAAGTAGATGATGTGGTTATTTGGTTAATATATCTGTTTGGAATATATTCCTTAAATTCATTTTTTTTTCATACAATCATTTTTAATTATTCACTCAGTAAAATAATTCTGCACGTGAACATACAATTATTTAACCACACATTTTTCAAGAAAATAATTTTTCACAAAATCTATATATTCTAAAAAGTCTATATCGAATGGACCATTAATATCAAGGGAGAATTGTAGTTGTGATCCCAAACCTTTCAAATTATTACTGATTATATCCAAACCTTTTATTTTTGCAGTTTAAGTCCCAAACATTTCATCTCTATTGTAGCTAGAGAACGTGTGGACAGAATTCATCCATTTGATCTTAGTTGACAAAACGTCAACAGTATGACCTAACGATTTTTTTGTCTTTTATTTTTATTCGTTTTTAATTATTTTATATGGGATAATTTGGTTAGATTGTTGACTTTTGGTCAATTAACAGTAAAATGGACGGATTTCATCCTCATGTCCTCCAACTACACTGAAGATGAAAGGTTTGAGGGTTAATGTAATGTGAAAGAAGTGAACATACGAATCTCTCTCTCTCTCCTAGGTTTTCCCCCATGCACTAAGTACCGCCGCCTTTCCTTCCATTCGTAGGGCTGCCTCTCCGATGGCTGACCATGCAGTCATAGCCGAATGGAAAAGGCTGGATGTACAGAACACTGTTTCACAGAAGCCTCACAGAAAACTTAAAAAACGCACGTGCTGGAGAAAAGGAAAGCTCGTGATGGAGAAAAGGAAAAAGCGTGCATGAAAAAGAAATGGAAAGACCTAGCCATTAAAATCCAATTGTGAGAGCAATTGTGAGAAACAGAGGAAAAATCCACCATTCCTGCCCAGCCCTAAAAATCGATTCACCGTCTTCCTTAAACCCACTTCTCCGAAATCAGCTGCTATAATTTTTCTGCATCTGCTAAGCCCCGAAAAAAAATGCCCAGTAGCTTAGAAATCATTTGACCATTGTCTTCCTCGACCATTTCCGATTTCATCCAATCGATGGAGCATACATCTTACCCGCAGCTGATGCGGAGCATTTTCGAACCCACATGAGGTCTCCTCTTCAACGGCGAAGCCCCATCTGATTCCGGACATATTCTGCAGCATTTTACGGTAATGTGCGTTCCTTTCTAAAAAGGGATTTGAAGAACAGCATGTGGTTGTTTTGATGTGGTTGTGTATATTAGGTATAAAAATGTGCTTCGATGTTTTGATGTGGTTGTGTATATTAGGTATAAAAAAGGGCTTCAATGTTTTGATGTGGTTGTCATGTTTTGATGAACAACATGTGGTTGTGTATATAAGGTTTTCTCATCGGCTTCACACCTGGTAGGCAAACAGAAATCCAAAATTTAAAGATAAAGTGTGAGTTAAATAGGCATTGATGTAATATTGAACTAATTGGATAAATGGTGGATTCCTATGCAGATGCAATGTCTTTAGGGTTTACTAAGTTAAATATGAAATGAATGATTGTTTTTAAGCTCAACTTTTTGCTCCGTTATTTGTTGTAGGAAACGAAAATATGGAAAGTATGAATGGAGATCCTTTACTGCATTCCGATGGTGTGATTGTTGCGGACAATACAAACATTGTGGATGACCTAACTTTAGGAAAAGATTGAGAGAAAGTGCCGGAGGTGGGTATGACGTTCGAGGATGAAGAAGAAATGTTTGATTTTTATAAAAGATATGCTTACACCATAAGTTTAGGGTGAGAAAAAAGGAATTCTAAGAATGGGGATGATGAAGTTATTAGATATGTGACATTCACATATAATTCGGGATAGACAATCACTTGGTTGAGTTTTGAAGTCCAAATTGAAGAAGTTTACAAGCCAATGTTCAAGTTTCGTGAAGGGCTCGGGAGCCAAAAGGAGTTGGATTCAAGGTTTGGAAGATATTTGAAAAGAAAACAAACAGCGTGGATGAAAACGAGTATAACTTTTAGCTCGATTGTCGAATTTTCGCCCATGAGTACATTCTAGAAATGACACGAAATTATGCATAGGGCTATGTGGGCTCATGATACTTTTAGGCTTACGATCGCATAGAAACATGCCGAAAACAATTTGGCGAGAATTTTAATTTTCTACGAATTTCCTTATTTTGTTAGAATTTTAGTTTAAATGAGACTAGTATTTCACCCGTGCGATGCATGGTGAGATGCACATACTATAAATTAATAAAAATTTAATAAGTTACATGGACATTTATCAGTACGAACTCTAAAAACATTTAACTGGTATGTAAGA